CCTTCCACTGCTTTTCTGAAATACTATGCTGAAATAAGAAGGTTCAACAAATGCAAAACATTTCTATTAAATGGTTACTGTTGCACTTTGGACTCTATAAATACCATGCCCTTTCTGGCATGCAGGCAAATTCCTGCAAATCTATAGATCGTACCGTCTTTACAAGTGCACCTTTTACTCTTTAATTTTTTCCTTCTCTTAAAATGTTTCATTATGCCGAACAATACTCCTTATAATCACTGTTTATTGTTGACGTATCATCAACAGGTTCTGGCCGTTAGTTTTTCAGGGCATATGCGTTCCAGTGTTTGTTTTGAGTTCAGTCACTCATTTGCCACGAGCTTTAGCGGACTTGTCAATGTTAGACCCAGCCACAGACTAGACAAACCAGTTTCATCACAGTGTCTTTCCATTCTCTATCTCTTTGTCAACATGCCCCCTTTTCTCTCAGTTTTGCCATCTCTACCCGCATGTTGATGTTGTTTACTGACAACCCATCTCTCAGGGTGCAGGAGGTTGCAAGTGTCACTTGTCCTTTTTCTATACGTTCAAACCTGCCGTATACAAACTTTCAATGTCAAAGCAGAGGACAATACTCAGCATGCACTGGAAAAAAGTGCTTTAAATTGAAATACTTATTTCAGTTCCACAAATCAGTAAAGATGCATCAACATGATTATTCCTCTCAGTCTTTAGTAAAATAATTCCCATATATTTAATATAATGAAATAAAATATTTTAAGTGACCAAATTAGTGATTCTATGCATGCGCATGATTCATATGTTCCTTTTAACATAACCACACAAGTAGCATACTAAATAGTAATTTCCTAACGATTAAATTATCAAATGTCATACTGTTCAATGTCGCCCATTTCTCAAAAACACATACAATAACATTTAAATTCAATGTTGAATTTACATTCAACATTCACTCTCCCCATTAGTCCCATGCAAAGCATATACTGGGAATTACAGATCCCCTGCCCAGTTTCAGTTCAAAATCAAAATGATACATCTAGTCCCAACAGAAATTGATTACTGTGGATTGAAAGCAAATAAATTAGAGTTTTTAGGAAATATAAGAGTTTTGCTACATTAGCTTATTTTCTGAAAAAAATTAAGAAAGTTTTTTTAAGTTAACTCAGCAGGTGCTAAATGTTATGTTTGTTTGTACTCATTAACCTTTGAAAAACACTAATGGTCAAATGAAATGCTGTAAAACAATGTACAAAATACTGAAAAATATAAATGTATCAAGTACATATAGTAAAACAAATCTAAATATATGGATTTTCCCTTTGCTTAATGTCTGTGTGAAGTGTTGTTGGTTAGTCCTGTGGTGACATAATCTGTGAATTAAGTTTTGCTGAGTGAAGCAAAGCAGAGAGACTGTAAATTACTACCAAATAATTTGTCAATCTAACAACAACGCAGAAAATCAGATTTAAGATCTTAAAATCAAGGCCTGCTGAAAATGCACTCACCCTCACAGGTCATCAAACATGTTGATGAGTTTGTTTCTTAATCAGAACAGATTTGAAGAAATGTGGCATTACATCATTCGCTCATGAATGGATCCTCTGCAGTGAATGGGTGCCGTCAGAATGAGAGTCCGAGCAGCTGATAAAAAACAGTTCGTTTCTTACAAACATGCAGCTTTTCTCTTCACAAGACATTAACTGATGGACTGGAGTGGTGTGGATTACTTGTGGATTATTGTGATATTTTTATCAGCTGTTTGGACTCTCATTCTGACGGCACCCATTCACTGCAGAGCATCCATTGCTGAGCAAGTGATGCAATAGTGATTTTCTCCAATTCTGTTCCCATGAACAAACTCATCTACATCTTGGATGACCTGAGGGTGAGTAAATTTTCAGCAATTTTTTCATTTTTTGGGGGTGAACTATTCCTTTAAGCATTTTTAAGAATTGTGAGTTAATGCAAACAGAGGAGGCTTGTTGCATAATTGTAAACATTCATAATTGATACATAAAGAAAGGAAGAAAAATCTGAAGCTAACAGAACAACAAGTCTAGAGAATTTGAACTCTTTTAAAGTAGACGAGGAAACGCCCTGCAAGAGAAAACTGCATTTTGTCATCCGAGCCCTCTTGCACACAAAGGCGGATATGGGAGTGAAAATAGTTTTCCAGTCTCCTTTCAACCCAGTTGTTTTTAAATTGGCTAATTTAGCGAGGTGTTAAGCCCCACTGATAATACAATTTGAAGTACCATTCAACAAATAAGACATTTTACCTTCCCTTCATTTCATTTGAAAAGAAATGGGATTGTAGGTTATTTTGGGAAGCTGTTAGCAAATTGCATTTGCCTGAATGGATGGAATCGGAAATCGGAAAACCACTTGAGCCATCCGACAACTGGCCTTTCCCAAAATCACATTTGGCATTCATTCTCATGCTGACGGATTCACGGTGAACTTTACCTAAAGGTCAGAAGACCGAATATATGTGTCTCAGGTTTCTGTTTCAGTATTGTATATAGAATATCTGATACATGCGCTTTTGACTCCACTAATCAAAGCAAAAGTTCAAAGTGGTTTGAAGACCATTAATGCAAATCGTTCTGAGAAAACTTTACTATTTTCCAAGCAGAGTTTGAACCCATAAATGACAAAGTGCCAAATACCAGGAGGTCATACATCGATAAGCATGTCCATCAAGAGCCATGGCACTTCCTGGAAACAATTTTCCCCTCATAGGAAATAATCCCATTACATTTTGTCCAGCACTATTTGGTCAGTGCATTAAGGTCTACATACAAGTGATTAAACTGTTATGGAAAATGACTGCTGTAAAGGGTTGGAGGAGTTTAAAATAGAGCATTAGAGAGGCAAAAAAAAAAAAAACTAAATTACTGACTACAATAAGAGGTGGGCGCACTTCAAATGAAGGGACAAGACGCATTTAATCCTGAACTGAACGGTCTGACATGAAAAACAAGAGGAAAAATGATTTTGATCATTTCTGTTTCCATCTCAACAAGAACTGAAAGATAATATACCACTGTTTTTCCCCAAATAAAATGTATTCAAGCAAGCAAATGTGTTAACATCCAACTGCAAGTCAAAATACATGTCTGTTTACCACACTTACTATTTACACTGTAATGGAGCCTATATAAATGTAAGCAGAAAAATTGTTGTATGTAAACATAACTATCTTTTCATGCACTCGAACATGCAATATCTGTTTGATTTGATGTTTGTTTTGTATTGTAAGAAAAGTGATGCATTATTTGTGGTATAAAAAGTTTTAGATGTAGAAAATAAAGACAAAAATAAAATTTTTATTAATATACAATTATTAAAATAATTCTGTGGTATTGTTGTGTGTCCTTATACTATTTAATTGAATGTAATGTAACTGAGAAAAGGTAAGCTAAATGTATAATTTAACATTGTAAGCTAAATGTATAATTAATTATGCTGAATTTAATTTAAGGATTTCAAGTGAGCATTGAAAGCTGTATGTAAAATTAATAACTCTGGATTTAATTTAATCTGTGGTATTGTTGTGTGCCTGTATACAATTTAATTTAATTTAATTTAATTAGCATTGTAAAGTGCATGTATACTTAAAATAAACCTTGACAGCTGACAGTAATTATCGGACAGTGCCATCTAGTGGGTGAATACCTAAACTGTCAATGCAAATATATTCTAGTCTTTTTTTTTTCTTTTTTTTTTCCATCTTAGTGAAGATGAAGAATTATAACTGTCCTTTTATCAGTTACTTAGTTGCCAGCCACAATTAACAGTAACAAAATCAGAGACAGCAAGGTTGTCAGATGGCCAATGACTCTACTGACTTCTTATCTCTGACGTCACAAGATAGAAACTGAACAATAACTGCCAGAAACATTCACTTGATTTCAAAGAATTTATGGAAGATGTTGTTTGCCTCAATGTTTAGTTTCTACGAAGGCTTTTCATCTTTTTGCACAAAGGGGCAGGGGAATATCTAGACTGATTATTCTCATGTGCTCATATCATACACGTCATAATAATCATGCACATTATACAATACTGGAATAAACAGAGGTATCATACAATGTCAATTCTGTAAACAATGTAAATTCTGTTTCATCTTACAGTGTGTAAAATGCCATAAAACAATTTTCCTGACAGGACTGGAATGCATTAATTATGACTGACAGTGACATCTAGTGGTTAAAAGTGGAAACATTTAAATTTAAACTTGCATCTATCTATCTATCTATCTATCCATCTATCTATCTATCTATCTACCTATCTATCTATCTGTCTGTCTGTCTGTCTGTCTGTCTGTCTATCTATCTGTCTGTCTGTCTGTCTGTCATCTATCTATCTATCTATCTATCTATCTATCTATCTATCTATCTATCTATCTATCTATCTATCTATCTATCTATCTATCTATCTATCTATCTATCTATCTATCTATCTATCTATCTATCTATCTATCTATCTATCTATCTATCTATCTATCTATCTATCTATCTATCTATCTATCTATCTATCTATCTATCTATCTATCTATCTATCTATCTATCTATCTATCTATCTATCTATCTATCTATCTATCTATCTATCTATCTATCTATCTATCTATCTATCTGTCTGTCTGTATGTCTGTCTGTCTGTCTGTCTGTCTGTCTGTCTCTGTCTATATATCTGTCTGTCTGTCTGTCATTCTGTCATCTATCTATCTATCTATCTATCTATCTATCTATCTATCTATCTATCCGTCTG